TCGGACCGCCAGGGCCTCCTTTGGCCGCCACCCGATCCACAAAGCACCGAACCCCTGACATTCCCCCTGCGGGTGGTGGGCCCACCTGGGGACAGTCCCGCGTGCCTCTTTCGGGCTATGCCCGGCCGGGCCCCACGGGCCAAGGCCCGGCCACCAGGCGCTCGCCAACGGGCGGGCCCCTCCCCCAGGCCTGGCTCCAGGGTGGGGCCCCGGTGACCCTAGTCCGGGCGAAGGAAATGGGACTTTGCTATTAAACTTGTTCATGGGGTTCTTTTGGAACCCTTGGGGGTTTCAGTGGAGCACCAAGCAAAGGAAATGGCACCAATATATACAGCAACCACTCAGTATCGGTATCATCACACAGTGTTTGCAAGACTCGTGCTACTCACGAGTGATGTCATCGTTCAGAAACCATTGGCACTTTGACACTTTATCTTTGTTTTCATGTGAACAGTGAGTTGGGTCATTTGCTTGAAGTTTAATGAACTTCAGCTTACTGTTTTGTAACAATTGTTGAAAATGACTTGTATACACGTCCCTGAAGTGAGAAAAAACTGCTTCCATAATTTCCTGAGTATTCTATAAAAAAATTGCAGTTCTGTACATCAACACCCCTCATATCGAAAGAAGTTTTTTAAGTACAAGGAGGAAGCCAGAAACCTTCAATACCATTGACTTACCAAATGGATGTGATCATTGGGCTAGTGTGTTGTTTTTACTAATTACACAATTTATTCCTAAAATTTATATTTTGTGGACCTTTTACAACAGTTTCAGGTTCAGGTTATTTAAAAGACACATAGGCCACAATTTTCAAATAGTTCATACATGCTACACAAATGTCACTGCAACTGACACCCTTCCTCTTTCACTTTGCAGATGGTAACCACACAAGATGACTCCACTCTGAGCTGAGACTGGCTGGGTTACGTGGGTGGCCCAGCCACCAGGGGCTGGCTAGCTAACACAACCCTAAGGCCTGGGTCTCAGTAACCCCTTTCCATCAGGGTACATGTACATTGCTCTTTCCTGGTAGCTTTCATGGGGGGGGTGGGTTCTTTGCTACATCATATTTTGTGTGGCTTCTCCTCACAGATTAATTTGCCAAGGCAGGTCCTACCTGGGGATTAAGCTCCAGAGGACATAGCTCTGTGGATCCATAAGGCACAAAACCCCTCCACCATGCTAAGGAAACTTGAGTGATTCTGCATATCTTCAAATTCTCAGACCATGGTAATCATGGTAAATTCTCAGACCATGGTAAAATAGTGGATTTCTCCTTTCAGGTCGGGGGAAGTTTATAAGTGATGGCTAGACGGCATGTGGGACTGACAGGTGGATCATTTCGGTGACTATAGTTTTGTGGACATGGAGGAGTTCCACAGACCACTGATATTTTTGCACAAAAAATAAATAATGCCCAGTTAATCAACAGTGGCATTTATGTGGGACAAAATCTGGATGTTCTCTAACGTTTTCTATATGTCATAAAATAATGTTACATGCTGTCTATGTGTAGTGTTTAGCTCAGTGGGTTAGTGATCTGTGACCCTTTTGGGAAGGCAGTGGGCTTGAGCCCTGTAGCTGGCAATCATATTTTCATAGGGTCCTGCAGCAAGCTCCATTTCAGCTAACAGGGAAAATTCCCAGAACTGTTATGTAAAGGTCTTGAGAATGCAATTTTACATTTTAATAAAGGTTCTGTCAACGTAAGCATAATAACATTATTACCTGAACCTTCGTTTAATGTAATTTATGTTGAAGAATATTTTTTTATAAATTTATGAAAGTGCCATTGTAATATATGTGTGTGTATAAAGCAAACACCCTGTCTAGCCATTAACCTACAGCCTTTGAGGTGTAAGACGACAGTGTTACCCACTGCTCTACCATGCCCCTAATATGTATATACATTGTTAATATGAGTTGTATTAGTAGTTGCAGTAGTAGGATAACGTTCTGGGAACATCAGGAAACCTGGACACTTTGAATGTTTCCATACCTTAATCGTAACATTCGGTAAATGTACCTAGAACAAAAAATTTTAGCAAGGATAACTACAAATGCTTCTGGGACACTGGATGATTCTGTGTTCTAACTGAAAAAGTTCCTCTCAGTGTTATATTCTCATGGGCCACTTTATTAGGTACACCTTGCCAGTACTGGGTTGGACCCCTTTTTTCCTTCAGAAATGCCTTAATTCTTTGCGACATCTATTTAATAAGGTGTTGTAACATTCCGCAGAGACTTTGGTACATGCTGACATGATTCAATTAATTTTTTTTAATATAGCGCCTTACACAACAGAGTCATCCTAAAGCACTCGGGTGTGGGCAGAGCTGCAGGCTGCGCAACAGGAGCCTCGGGCGTGGGCGGAACTGCAGGCGGCGCAGCAGGAGGAGGCGGAGCCGCAGCAGGACCCTCGGGCGGTGCAGCAACCGGCAACTCCGGGCCAGCAGGGGGTGCCGCAGCCGGAGCCAGCGAGATAGGCAGGACGGGCGGAGCCGGCAAGACAAGCAGGACAGGTACCAGAACAGGTAAGTCAGGCAAAACCTGACTGTCGGTATAGTAGCCGCGGTGAACAGAACATAAACCGCTGGGACCACCGAAATTGCCCCTTTAAGCCTCCGTGGGACCCATGGGATGGCATCCCATATGGCCCCAGCCCCTTTATTTGCGAGGTGCGTCACCCAGAAATGATACACCGCCCGGGGTGGCGGCATCTTGTCGGCGGAGCCAGCGAGGGGTACCTGCAGGCTGGAAGCGGTGGTGACATCCGGAGGGAACTTCGACGGTTACATAATTTGGAGGGGTTCATCCCAAAAGAGAGAAGCTGGAGAGAGAGAGGCGGTGTATGGCTGGTGGCTGTGGCTGTGCCATCTCCGTGACGACGGGGCGACAGTCCCTGCTCCGGGCAGCGTGACGGGCTGGGTCCTCCCTGTTGTCATGCTGCACGAGCTGCCGGAGGTTTTGTCACTTCCTCCATAACGTGCACATCTCACTAAGGAGCGTCCCACTCTGGCTGGCTAACGTCAGCACTACAGGGTCCTCTCGAACCTTGGGCTGGTTTAGCCAGAACACCACCTCCTGCAGTAAGGTGATGCGTTGCCGCTCTGCTCACGGAGTTGAGTCTTCGTGGAGGTATGTCATTCTGTGATAGCGGCGTGCGGGCGAGCGGGGAAGCAGGCGAGTGTCAGGGTCAGCCCCTGTTGTAGTCCTTATGTGTCCCTTCCCGTTTGGCCAGCAGGCGTTTGCTGGTCATCCCATTCTTTATGTTAGTCTTTGTCCTCCCCGGTTACCTGTCTGGTCATGTGGCTCAATGTGTTGAGCATGTGGTTGTCTGTGTACCTTTCTGTCCTGTGTTTGAATCCCGCCTCCTCTGTTTTTGTATTTTTCTCCCTAGTGTTTCATTTGGGTTTCTTAGTTTCACCTGTGCCCTGTTTTCCTGGTCTCTGTTCATTAGTCTCACCTGTCCTGTGTTAGTCTTATTACCCAGTTTGGTTTCTGTATTTAAGTCCCACTGTTCCCGAGTGGTTCGTTGATTGTTGTTTGATGATTGTTGCTGCTAGATCTTGAAAGTTTAGTTTTGGATACTTTGTTTGTTGCCTATTTTCCTGATTCCCCTTTGTACATTTAGTCTTTATTTTTCCCCTTTAGTTTTTGACCCCTTGTGGTTGTTTTAGAATTAGAATTAAGATCAGTGGTCATTGTCAACACACCACAGCACACAGTGCGCAACAACAAAATGTGACCTCTGCATTTGACCCATATGTGACTTTCGTGACATAGCAGGGGGCAGCTAATTCAGTGCCCGGGGAGCAGTGCTTGGGGACGGTACCTTGCTCAGGGTACCTCAGTGGTGACTTGCTGGTGGGGGACTCGAACCTGCAATCTTTCAATTACAAGTGCGCTACCCTAACCATCAAGCCACCACTGCCCACCAGTGGTGTTGTTTTTGTTATGTTCATAGTGTTTTCTGTTTTACTTAATAAAGAACCCCGTTTTGTGTTCTTGGAGCCGCCAGTGGGTCGTCCACCTTTTGTGTTCCTGCACCATGCCACGTTTGCGCGCCCGAGCCGCCCGGATCCATGACAGGCGAGAGAGCTGTGAATGCGATCAACAACAGGGTTTATTCAGGGTCGACAGACGAGCACACGGTAGATTCACGTCAATCACAGACCTGGGGAAACAGACTTGAACACAGACTGAAATTCCCCAGACAAGACGAAATAACAGGAAACAGGTGATCACAATCGGGTAGCATGCGTAGGTAATGAGGGGGCGTGGCACACACGAGGATCGTACGAGCAGGTCATGACACCCACATGCAATGAAACAATTTTCTTACAACTTCTCAAAACATTAGTGGACAATTAATAATTACTGTATTGATTACCGTATTATAACTAGATCCTGCAAAATGAATTTGATATTAGACATATATACCAGGGAGTATCACGGAAAATTTGACTTTTGAATTTTGGTGTACCTGGCTACATAAATTTTTCTAAATTTGTAGTTTAATTATAGTAATGTTTTAATTTCTTTTTCTGTCAATATTGGCACTCAGCATGAATACTCTGCTGTAAAGTCCACATGTAGTTCATGGAAAAATAAGAACTGAAATGGTATTACTGTTATGACCAGCTCGTCCGAACCTCGTGTGTGCCACGCCTATTGTTAATCGTTGATCGTGTTAATTCCCGATTGTGATCAGCTGTGTCCTGTTATTTCTGGCTAGTCTGGTGTATATTAGTCCGCGTCTTCCTCTGTTTCCCAGATCAGTCAATGTAATTTTTGATGTTCGTCGCCCGTCTGCCCTGAATAAACCCCGTATTTCAGTATTCACGGCTCTCTTGCCTACTTCCTCATTCACCGGCCCGCCAAACGTAACAATTACGATTTTGAGACGTGTTTTTGTTTTTCGGTTTTGTGATATAGCCAAAGGCCTCTGCCTTTTATGGGGGTATTTTTAGCTTTTAGAATAACTTGTCAGTACATTTTGTGTAGATTTTATTTACGTGTATTTATTTTGCCATACGTATGAGTTACACGAAAAGAAAATAAAAAATATAGAAACCCAAAGAAAAGTACTTGTGTCCAGTGTTTCATCCAGTTTCAAGGCCAGCATGACAAAACCTTCAGCTGAGCTTCCATTCAGTTGGCTTCCTGTGCCAGATTGGTAATCGAAGGATGGATGGATGAATGAATGGATGTACTCTTTTCTGTACATGCTGGAGCAATGGTTTAGCAATGTAGTATAAGCTTAAGCAATAAAACAAAACTCAAATTTCATGATATGCTCTCCCAAAGATATTTGAATGCAGGTAAATGTAAAAAAATGTCATCATCAAATAAGCATGAAGTGCTTCTTAAATGTTATTCGGCAGCTGGTGGAGCATCAGGATTTGCTCCTGCAGTCTCGTTTCCAGTCTCCTCCATCATCTGGCTATATTTGCTTTTGAAGAATCCAGCCTGAGAGAGCAGGGATAATGTGGTTATAATCACATAACAGAGGATAGTCTGACTAGTGCATAAAAAACACAGTAGTCTCCCTGTATCCCCGGTTTCAGTTATTTTATTTATGTGTGTGTGCGTGCGTGCGTGTGTGTTAGGGGTGGCACGGTTCACAAAACCCACGGTTCGGTTTGTATCACGGTTTTAGGGTCACGGTTTTCGGTTCTGTACGGTTCTTGTTGTTTTTTCTTTTAATCTTTAACACTCCAGAAATGTACTTCAGCATATGATATATAGCTTAATTATCCACAATTTAGGATACAGTATTAAAAAAGTTATATCATGTAATCATGCATAAACTGAATTTGACTTGACTTAGAGCACATTATTGGGACCATCTCTGAGGAAAGCTAGGTGAGATTTTGATACAGCAAGAGGAAAGACTGATGATTGATTGATTGATGATTTCAACATGCTTTTCATTTATTTGGCAAAAAAAGGAGAACGTGTATTGCCATCTACATGAATGTATGTGCCTTTTTAGCACACAAAGATTGCAATATTACAGAATATCTTGCATTTATCAAACTGGTCAGACACTGTGCAATAAACAGAATTTTTAGGAACATGGCAAATGTTCACATTGCAGCATGGAAGCAGGCTCACTGTTACAACGCTGACCGGGGAAGCAGAGGCGAGGAGACCTAGGATCGGGGGAATGCGGGGTTTAATGAGCAAAAGGAACACAGACGAGCGGAAAGTTACAATATAATGACCGGACTGGAGAAAGAAACGGAAACGCGGACTAAATACAATGGAGTAATGACAAATTTGACAACAATCAGGAACAGCTGGTAAACATGGGGAATCCACACAGGGTTAACGAGGGGGCGTGGCACACGGAAAGAGCGGACGATCGAGGCATGACACTCACTGGAGTGCTTTGTCACAGATAACTTAATTTTCTTTAACAAAGTGCCTAACCGTACATTAAATAAAGTCACACAACAAAGGCGCACAACAGTGTTCAGATGTTGTGCTATCGGTTGGCTGAAATTTAAACGTTTTCTTCAGAGACAGGGTGGTAAAGCTGAAAACACGAACTAAACGCAGCAAACGAAAGGTTACCGGAAATTACTTAGCTGGCTGAACTTTTACCGGAACTACGTCACACCGCTCTGTGCATATAGCCTATTCTTTCGCGCGAAAGAAAAAAAAAAAAAAAAAATTCTTTCGCGCGAAAGGGAAACACACTGACGTCACATACGGGGCACGAGGCTACATTGCGCATGTCATGAACCGTCGAACCGTGCGACGCATGCATGCTCCGAACCGAGACAAGCGAACCGAACGGTTCGGTTTTTTTTCATGAACCGTGCCATCCCTAGTGTGTGTGTATATATACACTGTATATTACTGTATGGGCAGTGGTGGCTTAATGGTTAAGGAAGTGCACTTGTAATTGAAAGATTGCAGGTTCAAATCCCTGACCAGCAAGGTACTACTGAGGTACCCTGAGCAAGGTACTGCCCCCAAGCACTGCTCACCAGGCACTGAATTATCTGCCCCCTGCTATGTCACATATGGGTTAACTGCAGAGAACACATTTTGTTGTTGTGCACTGTGTGCTGTGGTGTGTCAACACTGATCACTAAATTCTAATTCTAAAAAATTCTGTATTTGATGTTGGTAATGTCTTACAGTGTGTAATTTATCACTTACTATAGGTATATACAAGAAAGTTACGTTCTGCGGGTGAATCACTTTTATCTGCAGTATCAACCATCCTCCATAGGTCTTGGAAAGTATCACCAGTGGATATGCAAGGACTACTGTATATATATTTTTAGTAAAAAAATAAAATAATGACACTGACCTTGTAGAGCGCAGCTGTGATTAAAGCAAGGAGCAGCAAACTTCCAACTACACCACCTATAATTTCTTTGGTGAAGTTTGGTTCGATGTGTATCACCACATGTGTCCTAACCTGCAGTGAGCAGGAAAACAAACAGAGCACCAGTGATTATTTATAAATGTATGAAACGTGTATCACGTGCTGGAACTCCCTCTTTAACAGTTTTCAGTAAAATGTGAGAAATGACTTAATCATCTTAATCATATTACCTCAGCACTTGGATTGTGGTCCTTAGTAGCAGAAACAAACTGGTTCCGGTCATAATCCAGAACTAAGCTACTGACCAAATCTACAGCCATGAGCTGCGTCTGAGAGGAAAGAGACAGAAACTTAAGGGCTCTGATGGGAAACTCCCTTCCCTTCATGCCAACCTATTTTCATCCATACAGTTACAATAGGTACCAATTTACCCCAGCAGCCTGCCGTTATATCAGTTTCTCTCAACCTAGTTGTCAGGGACCCCAAGCCGGTCTATGTTTTTGCTCCCTACCAGCTCCCAGTTGGAGCAAAAATATGGATCGTTTGGGAGGGGCCCCGAGGGCTGGTTTGAGAAACACTACTTTAGATTAAGAGCAGAAAATTCATGCCAACATGGAACTAAGTTTACATGAGATCATGTGAGCCTGAAGGTCCCACTGCCGCAGCATGGTGAATGAATAGTGTCACCTATGCTGACTTATAAAATGAAGCTCTAAACATCTACACAAAACACAGTACCCTTTGAGACCTATGAGATTCATAGCAGAACACACATGGTGACCTTCCGTAAATTCTCTCCATACATTACTGTACTCTTAGGATTTTTACATTTTTCCACTGGGTATAATGTCTTATGGAGTAACACAATTCCAAGAGATTCTGCAGTACTAACCGGTATTACAAAACAACTCTACGGTGAACACAAATTCTGCTGTTACCTGCTCTATCCACCCCGATTTTACTTCGCCAGAGATGTTATAGAAAGTGTCTTGCAGCTCTTGCATGTGAACCGTACACTTTATCACTGCACAAACTGCAATAGTGCAGTTCTAACAGAGAACAAGAAGGAGAGAGAGCAAGAGAATGACAGTCAGCATGGGTGATCTTTGTGGAGGTCCACTTCTCTCTTTCTGCATCCGAGATTAACAGAATTTTTTTTTATACAAAGCTCCAGAATATGTTAATTACTAATAGACACTAGAAATCCATCTGAAAACCAATGATCAAGTATTCTTACCACAATCGGTGTCTTCTTCAGTATCTCCACAAAATTGGTCACATTTGGATTCTCATCCTTTTGGTTTTGACACCCTGGAATCTACAAATTAACAATTATTTTAACATGCAACATAGTTTCTATTCCATTTACAGTACGTGTTAAACAACTGTTTGATGCTTCACACTTAATGTATTGCATTGTGCAGACCTGTGTCTATGTATGTATTGTCAGTACTCTTATGGAACCTCATCATCACCATCATCATTACCCTCGTCATCCGCCATGCTTCATTTTCAGTCAAATGAGGCCAAAAGAACATCATCACTAACCACATACTGACTCTGTTAGTATATTCCCACAAACTCTCATATAACCATGATTAGGAGATGAGTTGGTCAACTGTTCCACTGCCAGGCTGGAATTCATATTTTTCCTCCTAATTCCTAAATTCGACCACTGAGTGCTATCTTTACCACAGTACCCTGGTATAGAATTTCCACGTCTTCAAAGTATAATCCCATATAGGTTGCACACACCATTTAGAGCCTCTTTTTCAAAACAGGAACTACAGTACCACTCCTGATTGCCAGTCTAAAGGCAGACCCCCTGGATCCATGGCTACATTG